CTGGGCGTGGTGACATGCCCCTATAATCTCAGCTCTTGGGAGGCTGAAAACAGGAGAATCACTATGAGTCTGATCTACATAGTGAGAAAATGTAGACCCTGTAGACCCTGCCCTAAATACAGAAAAAAAGAAACTGCTCAGAGAGCTCTGGGATTATGATGTTCACTATCACTGCCAGTCTCAGAAAGATACTTTGATGCAGAAAATGAAAAGAACATTTCAAATTATCATGGATCCTAATGCAAATATTTTTATTCAATGATGGTTAGTGAAACATTTTTTAAACACTTAAAAAGTAAATCAACCTAAATGTCTAAAATAAGAAAATAGATTATTACACACTATATGTAAGAAAATCCTACCAGGCATGGTGGTTCAGACCTGTAATCGCAGATTTCAGGAGGCTGAGGCAGGAGGATCCCCACAAGTTTGAGGCCAGTTTTTTTTTTCAAGACAGGGTCTCATTATGTAGATTGGGCTGGCCTTGAACTCAACAGTAATCCCCTGTCTCAAGCTTCCTCAGTGTTGGAGGCATATGCCACCATACTCAGCTGGTCTACATAATAGGGAGGTCAAGGCCAGCCTGAACTACATAGCATGACCCCTCCCTCCCCCCACAAAAAAAAGCCCAACTTGTTTTTACACACTTATAAAAATGTCTGGAAAAAATACTCAGAAAAAAGAAAAGATTTTAAAGTTGTTATCTCTAGGTGGTAGAATTAAATTGACCCTAACTTTTTGTTACTTTGTTTTGAGACAGGGTCTCAGGGACTATGGAGTCCAAACTGGCCTTAAACTCTTGATCTTCCTGCCTCAGTCTCAGAAATGCTGCAGTAATAGGCATGCAATACCATGCCTGGATAACTTAAAAGATAACCATAATATCTAAATATGGCAAGCGCAAGGTCCTGAGTTCGATCCCTGGTACCACCAAAAAAAAATCTAAATAAAGGTAAAATTTAATAAAACAATTTTTCATGTAATCAGACTGTAGCTATTTAAAATAGGCTTATTTAAAATAATGATCAATAATGCGTTGCTCTTGAAAATGTGCATACAGTACAGAACTATCTAATGGAGAGTATGAAAACTGCCCCTCCTCTGGCATTCTTACACAACAAACAACAGGTAATAACACTGTTTGTTGGATGTTTCTACAGCTCTCCCTATGGATATACAAACATGCACATGTGGAAGGGCATAGGAAGGAAGTGTGAGTAGAATAATGGAGGCTGCCTTACAGGTCTGCAACGACACTAACAAACTCTGTCCTACATCTTTCTTACATTTATGTAAGAAATAACTATCTTGTGTGATGTATTTTTCCCATTACATAAGGCACATAGAATCATTATGAATAGAAAAGGATACCATGTTTGCTTTTCTAGACAAAACTGTCAAAAAGTTTGAATTTAATTAAAATTATATAAGGCCGGCCAAATAGCTCAGTGGATCAAAGCATCTGCAAGCAGGCTCAGGGGCCGGGGTTTGATCCCCTGGTTTGCTGTGCTGGTCCGCCCCCAAGGCATGCTGAGACAGTGATTGAGACTAGGCGTGGTGGCACATGCCTGTAGTCCCAGCTTTTGGGAGGCTCTAAACAGGGGGATCACTAAGAGTCTGATCCAGTAGTGAGACCCTGAACACCCTGTAGACCCTTCCCTAAAATACAGAAGAAAAATTATATTCAATTTATAGATTAATTTGGTGAGAACAGGTATTCTTCAATGCTGAATCATTCTATTAAGGAACACAATGTATTTCACCATTGATCCTTGTCTTATAAAATAATTTTTTAAAGGTTCACTATGGTGTGTGTGTGTATACATAAATGTGCAGTCAGGGAGAGGGGATAACCATTTTTCCTTTACATTTTCTAACCAGTTTTAAAAGTCATCTCATATTCTATGGCATGACCAAATATTCAGTGATTTTAGTAAGTTAACGAACATTATATTTATTATACATTTTTCCTTTTTTTAATTGATAGGAATGGAACTCAGGGCCTCTTGAACACTGGATGAACTCTACCACCAACCTATACTTCCAACCCCCCTTTCTTCTTTTGTTGCACCAGCTTAACCTTCTGAAAGAACACTTGACATCATGTTGGGTAGATCATTTAATGAAAGTGTATTTAGTCTACTGACTCAGTTAGAGGTAAACAGAATTACCGGAGACTCATTGAATACAAGGATTAGGGCTCAACCCAGACCTACTAAAATGAAATCCCTGGGGATGAGGTCAAAGCATGGACATCTCCAGAGAGGGCTCCATCTAACCTCAGGGGATTGAGGCTCATTCCTAGATAAGAACCAACGCTCCTTTGGTTCAATATTAAATAAATGATTTCTGTTTTCTCTTAAACACTCACTAAGTTTCCTAGCTTGCCAGATATGGTGGCAAACACCTGTAATGCCAAATACTTCAGAGGCTGAAGCAGGAGGATTCAAGTCTAACCTGAGCAATTTAGCAAGGCTCTGTTTAAAAAAAATTTAAAGGGCTGGGGGGGTAGCATAACACTCTCTGGGTTCAATCCCTGGTGCTGGAAAAAAAAAATTCAAGTTTATGAAGAATACTCATTATGGTATCTTAAGATTCAGAAATTAATGTTTATTATAAAGTGTTTTTCTTTATTAACTACAATAGAACACATTAATGCAGTTCTTAGATTTGTTTTTTTTCCATAATTTTATTGAGAAGCAAATAGCAATGAGACAGTTTCAAATCAAATTGGTAGGACAGTTTCAATAATTAACACATTGCATAATGCCTTCCTAGTGGTTATTTGTTGCACAAGATGCAGACATGATATCCTATTTATAAACACTATTATAACAAATCCCTCTATTCACTGAATCAAGAGAATATAGCTATACATCTATCCTAACCATTTTGAATACACAGATAGAAAATGGTCATTCATCTGTATAGCCCCTTTTTTGTTTAGTTCCATCATTTAAATATTACAGGTGTGTCTCCTAAATGAACTCTCTCCCTCACAAGGAGGAAACTGCTCTCTGCTGCAAAATCTTTGCCAAAGCTCAGTGGAGGGCATGGATGTAGTGCCCTTTACAGCTTCTAACCCAGAGAACACAATTTCTAGTGCTTCCAGGAGCCAGGCAGTTGAAGAATAAGGAGTACTGAGAACTGTAAGAAAATGAGAGACAGGGCACCTCTGCTAAGAGATGCTAAAAATACAGACTTCTATGAATATCTTTAAATATTCTGATGCCAAGAAAAAATTTTGGTCTATTAAAAAATTTAGATCTGTAAAAAAAAATATTACAGGTGTGTGAACTCAGCAAAATATTCCAAAATAGTCCAGTAGTCTATAATAGTATTGGGTCTTCCGCTTGACTGGCAATGTCAGAAATTGTTGACCTGAGTCCCCTACAGCTCAACATAACAACATGGCTTTACTTTTTACACTTCGTTTTTATACTTTTCTGCTGGATGGTTAAGACTAAGATAAAATAAGACCTACATTTTAAAATTCTTAAATTACAAAGCTGGATTTTATTTACCAGTATTTCACTTTGATTTTCATATATGAGACTGGCCTACAGTTCATTCTTTTATCTTTGTGAGGTTTGATAGTGCAGGTATGCATCCTTTACAGAATGAGGCAAGATTTCAACTTCTTTGTATGTGCTAGATTCCTTTCCAATATTTTGCAACGAAATTATTTGCTCCTTAAAAATTTGACAGAACTCCCTTGAAAAACATTTGTGCCTTTATCATTAAACAAAATGTGGTAAATTTTGTAACATCATTAGCATCTTATGCAGCTACCCAAATGATGTGATGAATGTGTCAATTGCTTTCCACACCAACTAGACCCTGAAGTTACTGGTTTACTGCTTACTAGGAATGTGAGAATATGGAAAGGTATTCCCACTTTCGAAGCCTCGTTAAATTTCAGAGAGCCTTACCACATTATACTCCACTGGATTAAAGAAATGGAATCAATCTAGCCCAAGGAAGGAGAGTAAGTGCAAGAACCATGAAAAAAGTGTCATGCAATCTAAAACTCCAAGTGCTTACTTTTTGTGGTGCTAGTGGCCAAACTCAAGGCCTTACACATGCTACAGAAGTGGTCTAGCACCAAGCTACACTCCAGCATGTTCAAATCTGACACTTTCATCATCCTTCCAAGACTATCACTCGGTCTCTGTCTTCACAGTCATATAACTCATCTCCTGTCTTTCTGTCCCAAATGTCTTGCACATGCCCATCTCTGTGCCTAGAATACCTCCTCTTAGTCCAACTTTGCCTTTTCTCTTTCAGTTTTAGCCCTACTTCCTTCAGAAAATTTTTAAACATTCCATGATAGACTAGTCTAGCTCTTCTTTTT